AGAAATCCTGTCTGTACTAAAAATACAAAATTAGGGCCAAGCACAGTGACTCATGCCTGTAATCCCAACACTTTGGGAGGCTAAGTTGGGTGGATCATGAGGTCAGGAGTTCAAGACCAGCCTGGCCGACGTGGTGAAACCTCGTCTCTACTAAAAATACAAAAATTAGCTAGGCACGGTGGTGAACGTCTGTAATCCCAGCCACTTGGGAGGCTGAGGCAGAGAACTGCTTGAACCCAGTAGGCAGAGGTTGCAGTGAGCCATGATCATGACACTGCACTCCAGCCTGGGCAACAAGAGTAAAACTCCATCTCAAAAAAAAAAAAAAAAGAAATCTCAAACAATTTTTTTTTTAAGAGATAGGGTCTGTCAGCCTCCCAAGTAGCTGGGACTACCACTGCAACCAGCTTGAAATCTCCAACAATTTTATCCAAAATCAAAAGTGGCTCAGAAAGAGTCAAGAAGGCACCCAAGAGAAAAGTGCTAGAATCACAGTAGAGTCCCTCTCTGAAATTTGACAAAATTAGTAAGAAAAAAGTTGGCAATTACTTTGTCATCAACGTTTACCCCCTTCCTTAGGGCATGTTTCACACTACACTATGGAAGCTAGCTAAAAGATGCATATTCCTCGCCAGACTTAAGGTAAATAGCTGCATGTCATTCACTTATCCTCACATTCTTTGGAACCTAGCAAACTGCCTTACACATAGCAGTGACTGAAAGACTGAATGATTTAAGGCGACACGTGTACCTAGATCCAGGTAATCAATGAGACTCTAGTAAGAACAGTCATAGTTTCATTTTAGCTAATAAGCACTGAGTAATTTGATAAGTTGCTTTTTTTATTTAGAAAGTTTTAAAAGTAGATTTTAAAGCTCTGAATAACATATTTACATTTTAAATGTATTTGAAAGTATGGTAGTGAGACATTTAAAAAATACATCAACATGGCCGGGCGCGGTGGATCACGCCTATAATCCCTACACTTTGAGAGGCTGAGGCGGGTGGATCACGAGGTCAAGAGATCGAGAACATCCTGGTCAACATGGCAAAACCCGGTATCTACTAAAAATACAAAAATTAGCTGGGCATGGTGGCGCATGCCTGTAGTCCCAGCTACTTGGGAGGCTGAGGCAGGAGAATTGCTTAAACCCAGGAGGCAGAGGTTGCAGTAACCGAGATCGCACCATTGCACTCCAGCCTGGGTAACAAGAGCGAAACTCCGCCTCCAAAAAAAAAAAAAAAACACACATTAACGTAAAAAATGATTGGGCTCACTGTGGAACTAGACAGCATTGGTAGGGTGAACATAAAGTGACTGGGCGCTAATCTCTATAAAATGTTACCATGAGAAGAACACTACAAAGTGAGTTAAAGTGGCCCTGGAATTCTTACCAGAAAAGTATTAACAGGCAAACAGAAAAAATGTAGAGTACTGCCATCTCCACTAAGGGTCTGGAAGGTGGGGAGCCTGTTGCCACTCCCGAGGAACATTTACTTCCGTTCCAATTCACATGATGCTGCTGAAAACTGAGGTACAGAAGAGATGGTTCAGTCTGTGAACTCACTTCCCGTCACCCAAAGAAAATGATGGAATAGCAAGCCGACTGGGCCCTTTCTAGACTTCTGACAGTTCAAGCTCCATCAATGCTCTAAAGCGTCAGTCTAGGGAAGAGGTAAGGCAAACCACAGCCCTCAGGCCAAATCCAACCACTACTTTTTATACAGCCCAAAAGTTAAGAATGATTATTTGTATTTTTGAATAGTGGGGGTGGGGGGTGTCAAATGACAAATCATATTTCATGACACATGAAAATTATATGAAATTCAAATGTCAGTGTCCATAAATAAAGTTTTAATTGGAACACAGCCATGCTCATTCAATTACATGTTGTCTATAGCTGCTTTAGGGCTATTTCAGCTCACTAAGCCTGCAATGTTTGCCACCTGGCCCCCTAGAGAAGCAGCATGCTGACCCCTGGACTACAGCATTTCTCTACACTCCTGGTTGCACTGTCTTTCTGAGAAGCAGCCCACTGCTTCACAGGGTTGAGCCTTCAAGCTTGTCAAGTGTCCATCTCGCGACTGTGTCGCCCAAAGTTATATTAATGAAATAATAGAATTTAGTGTAATTCATTAGGGTGGTTACAAAGACAAAGTAACATATAACTTGCACACACAAGGCTCTGAACAGGAAGCACCATGCAAGTACATGATAGGCATGTTCAAACCTTTTACCTGACTATTACATCCACTTCATGGTCACACTACTGAAAGGAAACAAGGGCTACAGAGAATTTAGAGGTGGACAGATGACTGAGAGCACAAAAATTATACCACTAAATAAATGCTGAGGCCAGGTGTGGTGGCTCAAGCCTATAATCCCAGCACTTTGGGAGCTGAGGCGGGTGGATCACCTGAGGTCAGGAGTTCGAGACCAGTCTGACCAAAATGGTGAAACTCTCTTTCTGCTAAAAATATAAAAATTAGCTGGGCGTAGTGTTGGGCACCTGTAATCCCACCTACTCCGGAGGCTGAGGCAGGAGAATCACTTGAACCTGGGGGGCAGAAGTTTCCGTGACCAGAGATAGCGCCATTCCATTCCAACCTGGGAAACACAGCAAGACTCCATCTCAAAAAAAAAAAAAAGAAAAAGAAAAGAAATGCTGAAAGAAATGGGATTCGTTGGCCCAAAAGAGAGAAAGGTAAGAAAATAACTGATAGTAGCAAGGGTGCCAAACCCTGTATTTGCTAATAGGTCAAAGTCTTACTGATGACAATAATGGCAGTCTGAACTAATATTCCACAAAATATGTATCTAATGAATTAAATGTAACTCATGAGACTGTTATTCCTGTCTTAGGCCATAAACTAGACCCCTGAAAGATAATCATGGTCAAATATTGTACTCTAAGTCTTCAACAGATTATTTAGGTGCGTTCCTTTTTCATTAGGCATGTTCTATTTGCTGACATTGATGTAAGCCCCTAGGAAAGGTGTGCTACTAGTGTGCAGAGGTTCAGTAATATTCAAGTAACTAAAAGGTAATTAAGTTTCATAGCCACACACCTTTGCACAGGACCAAGTATGGAGAAATGGACTTAAATTACAGAATGTAGGTTACATTCAAGAATGTTCCAACTATGATATTTTAATTACTCTAACAGAGCACTGGGGGTGAAGGAATTTTCTTCCCAGGACACTGTTCAATTAGAATGCTCCGTCTGGAACTTTCTGGATGCTTTCTTAGAGCAAGGAGAATGGATCTGAAACACTCTTCTTCCATGGCAGTGATTCTGTAATTTTAACTCTCCCAGTTTTTAAGAGTAAGAGAGCCTGCAGCCATTGCTAACTTTTGTTTTGTCTTGAAGGTGGTCAATGTACATAGGACTACAGTTTAAGATAAACTTTAATATCCCAAATTAAAATTTGATTATAATTACGACTTTTTTAAATTACAGAGATAAAGATGCATTTCCATTAAACAGAAATAGTGGGAAAATAGGCATAGCTTCCTACTTCTTTGCTCCTTTCAATGAGGCTAGGTAGTTGATTATTTCAAAACATCCAACACTTAAACATAGCAAGTACTCAATAAATGCTTTGTGAAGAAAATATAGTATATTTCCTATTAGTTTTGTAACTTTTGAAATACAGAACGGAACCACTGAACACAGAATATTCTTTGAGTCAATCTCAACGTTGCAATTAGTAATGTGAATTTTGAAACTTGTTCTAAATACAATTTTAATCAATCTGAGTTTTTCAGCCTTGAAATTCTAAGGTCTGTATTTCCCAAAGAATATCCTTCCCATAGTGCGAAGCACACACTAAACTGACTCACTAAACTTTCTCCACTCCTACATCACCTATACAGGATTTTAAAATCATGAGTACACAAACTTTTAAGCCACTTCTACAATCTTGCATTAACCTTAGCAGGATAAACTTTTCGCCAAATCTCTTTAACACTTTTTATCCAAAAACCTGTAGTAGTGAAACAAAGAAAACACAACCCCCTCCTCCTTTTCTAAACCATATGGCAGTAAATTAAAGTTAACTTATTTCTTACCAGCTCAAAGCCTAAACATCGACCCTAAACATTTGTCTCTTTGTGCCCTGGGACTGGGCTTAGAGCTGTCTGCTTATTTGCAACTGTACTCCAACCATGTTTTTAAATCTTACAACAAGGTCCAAAACGACCCCCGACCATGAACAGACCTCACCATCGTCATTTTCCAAAACCTAGTCTGGTAGGCAGCACATGCCGACGAGGGCCCCGGGGCTGGCGGGGAGCGAGTCCTGATCCGCCTGGGTGACTGAGCAGGGAGTTTGCTTGCCGCGACGGGGTCGGATCCACCCCGGGAACTTGTTACCCGAGCCCAGGGACGCGCTGAGGCCTAGCCGCGAGGCCGGGGCGGGCTCCAGGCGGCGAGGGCTTCCTGTCCCCTGGCCGCAGAGCCTTCCCGCCAGCCCCGCGGTCGCCCGCAGGCGGGGACACTCGCCGTCGTCTCCCGGCGACCGGACGCGCCTGCCGGGTCCCGGGCCGGCTCTTTCGCCTCCTGCTGCCGCCCGCGGCCCGGCTCTGCGACCACACCGGGCTCTTCCGGGGCGGTGGGAGCGCTAGGCCGCGCTGGGGCCCGCGGCTCCCGGACCGGCCGGGCGGGCCTCGGCGTCCAGTATCAGTCCCGAGGGCCGAGCTCCCGCCGGTAACGGGCCCCACCGCCTCCCCTCCCCCCCTCGCCCCATGACAGTGCAAACCCTCCGGCCGCCCCGGCCGCCCCGCCTCCAGCACAAGGCCCAGCTAAGGGCCGCGGCCGTGGCGGTAGCAGCGCCGCGGCTCTCCGCCCTCGCTCGCTCGCTCCCGGCTCCAGCGCCTCGGGCCCGGCTCAGGCTCGGCCAAAGTCTCCGCCGCTTCCTGGCCGCCCTCCGCCGCGCCCGGCCCGGGCGGGGTAGGCCGAGGCCCGGGCGGTGCGGGTGGGGGCGGGGGCTCCTCTCACCTTCATGTCGGGACATCCTAGTTCAGACGGTGGCGGCTCGGCCCCTCCCGGGCTCCGGCTGCAGTGTCCCCCGCGGGGTCCCGGCGCTGCCCGCGCCGGCCGGCCGACTCCCACTCGACTCCTGGGCTCGGCCGCGGGGGCGGGGTGGGCAGGGGAGCGCTCCCGCGGCGGCGGCGGCGGCGGCGGGGAGGCGGCGCGGGGCGGGAATGGGGCCGGGCCTGGTCGGGGCTGAGCTCCTCCAGGAGGCGGGTCCGACGCCGCGGCTCCGCCGGCGCCCGCCGTGACTCCGGTCACTCTCGGGCCCGCCGGCTCCCGGCAGCGGCGCGGCGCTCCGCAAATCCCGCTCCTCCCCCCCCCCGGCCCCCCCCCCGCCCCTCTCCCCCGGCTCCCGGCCGCCGCCTCCTCCTCCTCCTCTTCCTCCTCCTCCGCCTCCTTCCGCCGCCCGCACGCCAGCCCCGCCTCTCGCTGCCCGCGCCGGGCCCAGCCGCCCCGAGGCCCCGCGGCCGGCGGGGGCGGCGCGGCGGCGACGGCTCGGGTCGCGGCGCTTGCCCGCGCTTGCCAGCAGGCCGCGATCAGGCGCCCGAGCCCAGCCTCCGCCTAGCCGCCGCCGCGCCGCCCCGCGCCGCGCGTAGGGAGGAAGAGGAAATGCCCAGCGCCGGCTCCAGCGGCTCACCCGCGCGGCCTGAGGAGCGCCCGCCTGCCTCGCCGCCCCCAGCTCCGCCTGGGGCGGGCCTGGGCCTTGGGCTGGGCCGGCCGCGGGCAGTGGGTGCTTCTCTGCGGCGAGCTGCGACTCAGAGGGGCTACTGTCCCCAGGTGTATGGCCCCCGGGCCGGCCGCGGGCAGCGAGCTCCGGCCCCACGGAGAGGCCGCGGACCGCCTGAGGACTTGTGTTTGTGTGTATTTTAAGACAATAGCCCAGAAGGGAAAGGCAGCTGGCTACCGGTCGTCGCCGGCATTCGCCGGCCGGGTTCCTGGCGGTCGGGAGGGAAGCTGGGAGGCTGCCGGGCTCCGAGGCCGACTAGACTCCGCGCCGGGCAACCCCGGAGTCCGGCGGTATCCGCGCAAACTGTCCCCGCGCCTTGTCTCACCGTGAATGCCCTGCCTTGAAAACTTGGAGTTTTTTGTTTCCTGCAAGTGGTCTGCTTTTCCGATTTTATCTGTGTTTTACATTTTTACTTTCTTTCTTATTGTCAACTTTGTTTTCAGGCATTATTAATTCAACAAATCTTTGTACTGCCCCTTACCACGTGTCGGTGTTAGCGTGGTTTGGTGGAAATTGATGGCGCTTTGAAGTCAAGACAGATCGGCCATGGGATTTTGGCTCTGATATCCTCTGTGTAACCGTGGACGAGTATCAGGGCTTGCTGAGCCTCCATTTGTCTGTTTGGTTTTTGTGGTTGTTTTAATTTATCTTTTTCCATTTGAAGTTGTGGTTTTTGCATAAAATTGAACTGTTAACAGGCTAAGTCAACTGAAATTGGAATCTAGGGTACTGCTTGCTTTGGGGTTACTCTTATACTCTCCACCATTCACTGACTGTGTGACCTCTTAACCTCTCTGTGCCCTGACTTCTCTGTCTCTAAAATGGACATAACAACAGATGTTTAATAATAAGAGAGTTGAAGTGCTAAAATGCATATAAAATACCTACCACAGGACACAGTAAAAAGATTGTTACCGTATTTCATTGAATCTGATTTTAAGACATTTCCTGATTTCAAAGAAACTAAAACTCATCTCAAAGTCCAGAAAGTAGGTTTTGGGTCACTCAGAACTCCTGAGGGACTGTATTTGGTAGTAACTAGTGATAAACTAGAGTTTAAATGAGGACGTTGTCACCAGAAATATTTGTATGGAGCTTCTGCACAAATGCATTCCATTTCTTTTGTGGAAAGAGGTCCAACCTGGCCGTAAATGGGGTCTGTTGAAGTAGAAAGAGTTTTAAGTAAAGCTAGTTAATGCTTATTGAATGCTTACCCTGTGTTGATGCCTTTCTAAGCATTACGGTATTGGCATATGTGATCCTGGGTTATCAGGAGCCTCAATTTCTTGGGCTGTAAAAGTGGGGACAACACTGATCCCACTGCCTCCTGAGGGGTAAGTGATGTCTACAAATAAAGGTATAGAGGTTAAGGCATTATCAGTGCTGCAGACAGATAAAATAATGGAGAAGGTAGGAAAGCCTACAACAGTACTGAACTACGGGAGAGATTAAGAGTAAATATGAGCCGGGCGCGGTGGCTCAAGCCTGTAATCCCAGCACTTTGGGAGGCCGAGGCGGGTGGATCACGAGGTCAAGAGATTGAGACCATCCTGGTCAACACGGTGAAACCCCGTCTCTACTAAAACTACAAAAAATTAGCTGGGCATGGTGGCGCGTGCCTGTAATCCCAGCTACTCAGGAGGCTGAGGCAGGAGAATTGCCTGAACCCAGGAGGCGGAGGTTGCGGTGAGCCGAAATCGCGCCATTGCACTCCAGCCTGGGTAACAAGAGCGAAACTCCGTCTCAAAAAAAAAAAAAAGAGTAAATATGAGGTTTCATTTGCTTAGGTTTGGCAAAGGCTTGGCTAACTAAACAGATAACTGTTTTTGACAGTTACATCATTGTTTTCAGTCAGGCAAGAGTAAGGAAAGAGTAACTAAACCGTTTTTTTTTTTTTTCCTGTTTGAATAAGAGTAACCAGAAATATTGTGGTTATTTGGGGTTTTCATGACCTTCCTTCAATTAGAGTTTCAGGATGTTCAACTTTAAACAACCTTCTGCTTGCTGTCCTGTCATATGGGAAATTTCATTTCCAAAAAAAGAATTAATTTCCAGCCTGGGCGAAACCCCATCTCTACAAAAAAATACAAAATTAGCTGAGCATGGTAGCATGCACCTTTGGTCCCAGCTACTCAGGAGGCTGAGGTGGGAGGATTGCTTGAGCCTGGGAGGTCAAGGCTGCAGTGTGCCATGATCACACCACCACATCCTAGCCTGAGTGATATGTGACACTCTGTCTCTAAAAAGAAAAGAAAAAAGGAATAATTTAAATCCTTATACCAAATTGTCTACCAAATGATTTCTGTTCCACTCCAGAAGTGTTTTCCTCCAGTCCCTTCTTCTTCCCACACCCCCTTGACTTCTCCTGTCTTCTGTGGACAACTGTAACTAATGCATGTTTTTGCTAGGCTAAATTATATTTTTTCTATGTACTATGGCCCAATTATATTTTTTCAAACAAGCTAATGGATGTAAGCACTAGTGAAATCTGAATAAGGTCTGTAGTCTACTCAATAGAATTGTACTCATGTCAATTTCGTGGCTTTCAATATTTTTCCGTAGTTTTTGTAAGATGTTCCCATTGGAGAAAGTGTACCCGGGCCCTCTTTGCAACTACCTATGGGTATATCATTATTTCAAAGTAAAAAATTAAAGTATAGGGACAGAGGCGGGGCTCGGTGGCTCACGCCTGTAATCCCAGCACTTTGGGAGGCCAAGTCAGGCCAATCACGAGGTCAGGAGATTGAGACCATCCTGGACAGCATGATGAAACCCCATCTCTATTAAAAGTACAAAAATTAGCTGGGCATGGTGGTGTGCACCTATAGTCCCTGCTACTGGGGAGGCGGAGGCAGAATTGCATGAACCCAGGAGGCGGAGGCTGCAGTGAGCTGAGATCGTGCCGTTGCACTCCAGTCTAGTGACGGAGTGAGACTCCATCTCAAAAAAAAAAAAAAAAAAAGATATAGAGACAGAAATCAGATCAATGGTTGCTGGCCACTGGAGTTGGGGATGGGTGGACTGACCACCAGGAGAACTTTTTGAGATGATAAGAATATCCTATATCTTGACTGTGGTATTGTTTACATTATTGGATAAGTCTGTCAAAACAGAATTATACACCTAAAAGGGTGGTTTTTACTTCTCTGTAAATTATATATCAGTAAACCTGACTTAAAATAAGAAAAGCAAGCTCTTATCACCCCAGCCTCCTGGAGCTTACAGTATGAAATGTAACTTTAGGCCGGGTGCGGTGGCTCAAGACTGTAATCCAAGCACTTTGGAGGCCAAGGCGGGCGGATCACCTGAGGTCGGGAGTTCAAGACCAGCCTGACCAACATGGTGAAACCCCGTCTTTAAAAAAAAAAAAAAAAAAGTTCACCAGACTGGTAAGCCTTTAAAAAAAAAAAAAAAAAAAGTTCATCAGACTGGTAAGCCTTCCCTGCCTCCCTTAGGTGCGCCAGTAGTTTCCTAACTCCCTCTGCTCACTCATGTTGTGCTGTCATTTTTAATTTGTTTTCATCTTTTTTCTCAGCTAGACTCCTCAAAGGCAGTGACAACACTGTTCATTTTTGTCTCCAGGATCCAGTACTGTTGAATGAGGGAGTGAATGAATGAACGATTTATTTTATCTTATTATCTTTTTTGAGACAGAGTCTTTCACTGTCACCCAGGCTGGAGTGCGGTGGTATGATCTCAGCTCACTGCAACCTCCGCCTCCTGGGTTCAAGCAATTCTCCTGCCTCAGCCTCCTGAGTAGCTGGGAATACAGGTGCCGCCACCATGCCTGACTAGGTTTTATATTTTTTGTAGAGACAAGATTTCACCATGTTGGCCAGGCTGGTCTTGAACTCCTGACCTCAAGTGATCTACCCACCTTGGCCTCCCAAAGTGCTGAGATTACAGATGAGAGCCACTGCACCTAGGTGATTTTTTGTTTTGTTTTATTTTGTTTTCTCCCTTTTAATCCCATTCTTTACCTGACCCAACTGGTGCCCTGTGGTCAACACAGACTTCTCATTCATACCTTTAGCTCCTTAAACCCCCCATCCTCAAACTCTACTAGCATTGCAAGCTTCCAAGCCTGACTCAGTTTCTCCCTGTATATCTGCTTGGGGTGTGGAATATAGCAACTAAAAATCATAGAAGCATACTGATTGGGGCTGTTACGAATCCAGGGCATTCAACTGCAGTCGGACCTCAGTGCCATTGAGGAATCTTTGTCTTTGGTCAGAACCCTCTACTGTAAACATTCACCACTTGGCTCCAACTGCTTGCTCACCCACATGCCTAATAGATAACCTCACCTTCTAATTCACGGAGGGAGGGAAGTTCAAAATGCAGGAATTTTTACTTCCCACAGTGAGCCCCCAAGGGAGTCTGTACATCTGTGTCCTGCTGCCTCCTGCATGGAGATATCCTTTCTGTTCAGCCC